AATGGACTTAGACTTTTTAAGAGAAATCTGTATAGTGTTGATTTCTTTTTGTTTTCTGGTTTCAATGGCTAAAATCTCCAGAGATTTTAGACTGAATAATTTTTTTTTTTTTTTTTGCCTTGTACCTGATTACAGAAGGAAAACATTCAGTTTTGTACCATTTAGTTAGATTGTAGGTAAGTGTTATGGGTACCCTTCTTTGAGTTTAGGAAGTTTTATGTTTTCCTAGTTTGCTGAGAGAATCAGGAGTGAATATTGAATTTCGTCAAATGCCTTTACTGCATCTTTTGGCCATATAGTTTTCCTTTTTGACTTTGTCAATATGGTGAATTACACTTGAGTTCCAAATCTTAAACCGACCTTACATTACTAGAATAAACCCAATGTAATCTAGTCTCAGACTTAGTCTAGCTTCAGGAGGAGGGATGAAAATCAGGATCAGCTCAAAGCTGATTCCTATGAGGTAAAGGTCAGACATAAGTCTTCTCTCTAAATTTTTCAACATTTCTGACACCAGCCATCCTACTCACGGCATTGTCTACCTATATGCTGGGCTTGATAATTTGTTGCAATGGCCACACTGAACTCAGACCATACTCCTGATTGTGTAGTTTATTAGGAAAGTCACAGGCTACAATTTAATATCAGGATCAACTTGAAAGTAACAGTATACAACTGAGGAGATAGGATACAGTTCATTAACCAGGTAACTTCCAACTAGGACAACTCTTAGCTCCTTCTTGCCTGTGCCCACAGGCAGGTGACCTTCATCTTAGCCATGCCCATTGGTCCTTCTCTTGCCTATTTCAGCCACATCCTCTGCTGCCAGGCTGCTCTTGGCCTCTGCCCTGCTCAAGGTTATAGCTCGTTAGTTCTGCTGTGAGTGCCTAGAAGCATTCCGCTTTGCTGGCAAGCCTGCTAGCTGAAGGCTTTTAGCTCTCTTTTGCTGCTTAGACTGGATAGCCCACAACAGCTGTTTGCTGTCACATAGCTCTTGCTGCTTCTACTGCTTCTACTGTTTCTCTTCCATGGGGCTCTGTTGTGGTTGCCACCCTTCTCCTCATCTTGTACCCTCTTCAGTATTACATTGCTCTCTTTCCTGGGTCTAAGAGGTTCTCAGTGCAAGGAGACTTGGTCCAAGGGATGTGCTTTGCTCTAGGCTCTTCTTCATGACAGTGAGGTCCCCCTCAACCTCTGTGGCATTGGCCATTATAATCATTTTTGAAGCATGACCCTCCCAACAAGATCCACTCTGTTTCAGTGAATTACTTAACATGACTTGTCTACCCATGGTCTTTGTGATGTCCAGCAGATGACTGGGTGGGACTGCCCAAATGAGAGGTGGTTGTGGCTCACCAAGAAGATTGGAGAGCTTGCTAATAATGCAAATAAGGTAGATGGCACCCTTATGAGGTGGAACCATGGAAATAATGTATATGGAACCTTAACATGGGGATTAGTTAGTTTTGCCATCTCACTAGGCTTAAAATGAGCCATCCTAAGAGTGGAGAGGAGATCTCACTACCAGCAAGAAAGAACAACCAGGAGTGGAGTGCATCCTTTGGCCTTGAGATTCCTGCACACTGAATCACCTTGACCTTGGAGACAGAGAGAGAGAGATGTAACACATTGCTAATATGGTGAGATATGGTAAGAGATGGTGAGAGAAACAGAACCAAGAGACCAACATGAGAGAGAAGTGGGCACCCTGGCTCATGGAGCAAGAAAGCTGAGTGCCTTTGGGCATGAGGCTTGCTGGTGAAGTAGGGCTCCTCTCTGAGCAACTACTAGCAGAACTAAGAACTGAAAGAGATTTGTAACACTTGCCCAATCAGGGCAGAGGACAAAGCAAGAGAATTGTGACTGCAGTATGGCTGAGAAGAGGCTATCCTGATTGAAGAACTGTACACAGAGTTGTTTCTGATCCTGAATTGTAACCTGTTATTTCTCTAATAAGGAGCTCTGGTGGTGCAGTGCCTAAGTCATTTGACTGCTAACCAGAAGGTTGGTGGCTCAATCTCATCAGCAGCTCTGTGGAAAGAAGACTGGACAATCTACTTTGGTAAAGATTTACCATCTCAGAAACCTAATGTGGGTTGCTATGAGTTGGAATCGACTTGATGGCAATGGGTTTGGTGGGTTTTTTTTTTTTTTTTCCTTTGGGTTTACTCCTCTAATAAACCCCATAATCATGAGTATTGTCTGTGAATTCTGTGTGGCCATTATAATTAATTATCAAACTCAGCAGAGTGCTGTGAAAGGAATGGTTGCTGTTAGAAATGGTTGGTGTCAAAAAGGTTGGAGGTTGGAGGCATGTCTGATCTCCACTCCATAGGAATCATCCTTGAGCTGTTGATACTGATGGCAGTTCTCTCTCCCTTGTGAAGTTAGAGGAGGTCAGATGACAACAGAAGTAGTCCCTTCTTCAATTTTCTCAATGAGTTTATACAGAACTATTATCATTTCTTCCATAAAGGTTTAATAGAACTTACCAGTCAATTGCTATAGGCCCGAAGTTTTCTTTGTAGGAAGGTTTTTAATTACAATTTCTTTTATAAATAGAACTGTCCAGGTTAACTATTTCTTCTATAGTAAGATTTGGTAGTTTATGACTTTCAAATAATTTTTCTATTTCATTTAAGTTGTTGATTGTATTGTTTATGATATACTTTCTAATATTTTTAATATTTGAAGATCTGCAGTGATATCTCTCTCATTCCTAGTATTGTCAGTTTATGTCCTCTCTTTTTATTTCCTGATCAGCCTGACTAAAGTTTTATCATTTTTACTGGTCTTTTAAAAAATCAACTTTTGGTTTCATTGATTATTCTGTTTTATATTTCATTGATTTCTGCTCTGATCTTTATCATTTTTTTTGTCTTTTACTTAACATGGATTTAATTTGCTCTTCCTACTCTGATTTCATATAGTGGAAAATGAAGTCATTGTTTTGAGACCTTCCTTGCTAATATAAGTGTTTATTGCTATACATTTCTCTCTAAATACTGCTTTAGAAGCCCCTCATAATATTTACATGTTGTATTTTAATTTTTTTTTCAATTAGAAATGTTTCTCTAATTTCCCTTTTGATTTCTTCTTAATCCCATGTGATATTTTGAAATTTGTCAGTTAGTTTCCATATAGTGGGGAATTTTCCACATATCTTCCAGTTACTGATTTCTAATTTAATTCCATTGTAGTCTTTGTTTTGTGGTCCAGAATATGGTCTATCTTTGTAGTGTTCCATGTCCACTTGAAAAAAAAATGTGTTTTCCACTGTTGTTGATTGGAGTGCTCTGTACTTACCAATTAAATCAAGTGAAAGGGTTTTTTGAGCCTTCTATGTTTTAACTTATTTTCTGTCTGCTTGGTCCAGCAATTATTGAGACATTGGTATTGGAATCTCTGACTTTTAACTGTGGATTTGTCTCTCCTTGCAGTTCTATCAGTATTTGTTTAATGTATTTTGATGCTGTTTTTAGTTGCACAAATCTTAAGGATTATTACTTTCTTTTGATAAGTTGACTTTTTTATTTATTACTTATTCATTTAACCTCTTATGCACCTCTCTGTGTCTTCCTTTTCCTTAGTGATATTGTACTAGTTACACACTTTTGTTATATTGGTATTACCTTCACTCATACCAAACCTGTCTCTTAATTATCCATCTATTTTCCCTCCCTACATCTCCCCTCCCATCTCTGGTAACCAACAAAGAAAATTTCCTTCCCTGTGTAAGCCTTTCCTTGACTTTTTACAATAATGAACTCATACAGTATTTGTCCTTCTGTGATTGACTTATTTCATTCAGCATAATGTCTTCCAAGTTCATCCATGTTATGAGGTAATTCACTGATCCTTCATTGTTCTTTAATGTCACATACTATTCCATGGTGTGTATGTACCATAGTTTGGTTATTCATTCATCTGGTGATGGACACTTAGGTTGTTTACATCTACTTGCTATTGTACTGTAAATAGTGCTGCAATGCAGATTCAGATTTCTGATATCCAATGACAATTATATTGAGTCCTTGAAGTTGCTTTTCAGGTCAATAATATTCTATTTTGTTGTTGTTGTTGTTGTT